CAAGAGCACAGAAGTGGCTACTGCAAGGCCCTCTTATGACTTTGGGCTGGAAATGGCAGAGCGTTACTTCCATTGAGTCCTTTGGTTAAAGCAAGCACAGGTCCAGTGCAAATCCAAGGAGGGGACCACGCAGAGGGCCAGTGTGGCTCATTGGAGGCCACCAACAAAACCGCCTACCAGGTTCTTGCTCATTCACTCTTCCTCCAACCTGTCACACACACTCCTGCCGCTGGGCCTTTCCACTTATGGGTTCCCTCTGCCTGGGGTGCTTTTCCCCAAATATCCAGGGGTCTCACCCCTTCCCTTCATTCAGCTAAATGTCACCTTTAAAGAGAGACCATACCTGACCCCACCTTATCAAAAACAATTCACCCCCCCTCATATCACCTCTGTCCCCTGACACCACTCTGTCCTTTTTTTTTTTTTTAATTGCACTTGTCACTTCCTGGCATAATATTTACTGCTTGTTTATTATTTGATCTCCCTCTCCCCCATCTCAGAATATAACTGCCACGTGAGTAGGGCACTTGCCTTGTTCATTGCAGTTCCCTTAACTCCAGATATGACACATGGTAGACAGAGTTGTTGAATGAATATTTGAGATGAGGAAACAGAGCTTAGAAAGGTTAAGTAACTTTCCCAAAGACACAGAGCTAATGAGTGACAGAGTGGGGATCCAAACTCAAACATTTAGCTTCGATCAAGAAGCCGTAGAAGCTTTGCTGCGTAGGGGTAATTGCTTAGGTAATTATGGCTGCCTGCCCCCTCTTCTCCCTGAGTCCTGTCTGTCTCCACTCAGATTGATCTTCCTGCAACTAAAATCCGATGAGGGGTAAAACCCATCTTGAAGGTAGCTTCCCTCCCCTTCAGCAGAAAGCCCACCTGCCTTAGCCTGCTGCCCAAGACACAGCCAAAACTTGACTTCTAGCACTGGCCTGACATAGAAATCATAAGGGTTTTGGAGTCAACCCTGGATTTGTCTGCAGTGCGCCCAATCACCCGCTCTCTAAATGCAAGTAAATTGGGAATGTCATTCATTCTAAGTGTCTGTGGTTAACACGGTGGTCAAGCTGGCTGAAGGCTGGTCTGGAGTGGCCTCAGCTAGGGCGGTCATCCCACATAGTCTCATCTTCCGGCAGGCTCGCTCAGGCTTGTTCTGGCTGGGCTCCAGAGAGAAGCAGAAGTCTGCAAGATCTCTTAAGGCTGGCCTTAGAACTGGCCCAGCATCACTTCTGCTCTGTTCTGTTGGTCCAAGCAGATCAGGAGGCCAGTCCGGATCCCATGAATATGTGTGAAGCTCTTAACACCATGCCTGACACACAGGAAATGCTATTATTGTTGTTGATGTTGTTGCCATGCATTTGCATAGTATACTTTACGCTTTTTAGAGTTTTACTGAATCCATTACTATACCCTACACTGTGGGAGGAAGTTGGAGCAAATATTACTAGCCCCATTTGACAAATATTTAAAATATTTAAAACTTTGGGCAAGTTTAGACAACTTGCCCAAGGCCATGCTTTTAGCTAGTGGCTGCAGCCAAACACTGGAAATCAGATGTTATGCAATTTAAAGCATGTCTGCAAACGCATCTGCAGAAAGTGAGCCCATCTGCAGATGATTTCACTGTCCTGAGCACCACTGTGGTAAATATAATAAAGTCAAAATGCTGTCCTCACAGACCCAGGCTAGTAACTATCTGCAAGGGTCAGTGATGATGCCCAAGATCCAAGTTTCCTGCTTGGCTTCCGAACTCACTGGAGTGAATGATGGCTTTCTTTTCATCATTCACTGGAGTGAATGATGGCTTTTTCTTTTCTTTTACAAAGAGAACCTCTCTCTAGATGCCAGTTGCTTCTCCTCTCCACCTGTGAACTTCCTCCAAGAATTGCCAAGCTACCGGTCCATTGCACGCAGGAGAACGACTGTCCATTCCCGGGACAAGCAAAGCGGCACTTTGCTAAAGTCAACCGACTCTTACAGCTCCCAGCTGGAGGACAGAATCGCTGAAAACCTCAGCAGCCAATCCCTTCGAAATTATGCACTGAACATCTCTGAGAAGCGGAGACTAAGGTTTGTTCACTAGCCACCTGGAACCTGCATTGTGTATGTTATGGCCTAGAGGTACATTTTGTGCATGAAATGCTTTTCCCGAAGAGCTCATATAATTAAAATTTTATTCCTTATGGTAAGTTAAGCCTCTTTAACAAAGATATCCAAACTTTCTTCTCCACTCCTACTGCTTCACTTGACTAGCCTTAAAAAAAAAAAAAAGATACCCAAACATACTCAACATATTAGAAGTTTCTTTCTAGGCCGGGCGCGGTGGCTCATGCCTGTAATTCCAGCACTTTGGGAGGCCGAGGCGGGCGGATCGCGAGGTCAGGAGATCGAGACCATCCTGGCTAACACGGTGAAACCCCGTCTCTACTAAAATTACAAAAAATTAGCCGGGCATGGTGGCAGGCACCTTTAGGCCCAGCTACTCGGGAGGCTGAGGCAGGAGAATGGCGTGAACCCGGGAGGCGGAGCTTGCAGTGAGCTGAGATTGCGCCACTGCACTCCAGCCTGGGGAACAGAGCGAGACTCTATCTCAAAAAAAAAAAAGGAGTTTCCTTCCTTCCTTCTTTCTTTTCTTTTCTTTTCTTTTCTTTTCTTTTCTTTTCTTTTCTTTTCTTTTCTTTTCTTTTCTTTTCTTTCTTTTTTGAGACAGAGTTTCGCTGTTGTCCAGGCTGGAGAGCAATGGTGCGATCTTGGCAACCTCTGCCTCCCAGGTTCAATCGATTCTCCTGCCTCAGACTCCCGAGTAGCTGGGATTACAGGTATGTGCCACCATGCCTAGCTAATTTTGTATTTTTAGTAGAGACAGGGTTTCACCGTGTTGGCCAGGCTGGTCTCGAACTCCTGACCTCAGGTGATCCGCTTGCCTCGGCCTCCCAAAGTGCTGGAATCACAGGCATGAGCCACTGTGCCTGGCAGAAGTTTATTTCTTGCTAGCATAAAGTACTAGGAACTGCTGGACTTTGCAGCCATTCAGGGATCCAGGTTCTTTCCATCTTGTGGCTCTGCATACCCCTAAAGCCTCATTTTTGTCTGCAACCAAGCAGGACAAAAAGAAAGAGTTTGGAGTATGAGTATACCAGTTAGCTACGCAGCAGAATAAATCACCCCACAACTGAGTAGCCTAAAACAATAGTTTCTCAAGTCTACCAGTCTGCTGGACAAATCCTAGATTCAGTTGGGCTGAATCTTTATCCATAGTCAGCTGTGGCTGGGGAGGTGGCTCTGCTGATCTAGGCTGGGGGTCAGCTGGCTGTAAGCTGGTCTAGGGTGGCTTCAGCTGGGATGATCACATGGTATCATCATGATAGCTCGGGTTTGTTCGCATGACAACAGCTGAAGCCCAAGAGAGGATCAGAAGCCTGCAAAACCTCCTGAGACTAGGCTTAGAACCAGTTCAGCTTCCCTCCTACTGCAGTCTGTGGTCTAACCAGATCACAGTCCAGATTCAATTTGGTGGAAAGAGATTCCTCCCGCTAATGGGAAGAGCTGTAAAGTCACACAGTCACGGGGCATTCACACATTCATTGAGTCATTGGGAGTTTTGGGAGTGGGTTAGGAGCCACGTCTGAAAGGTACACATATCACTTTTCTTTACATTTCTACCAGAGAGAATTTAGCCACATGGTCATACCTAACTGCTGAGAAAGCTGGGAAGTGTCTCCAGCTAGTGCCAGAGAAGGGGAGAATGGATTCGGGTGGTAGCTTGCCATCTCCCCCATTCTTGAAGAATTTAAAACATAATTTTCCCATTGACCTGGTGTCATGACAGAGGTGGGTATTTCTGCTTTACTCTCTGATTGCTCCCCCCACAGGGTCAGTAGCATAAATTCATTAGAAAGGTCGGGCAAAGTGGCTTATGCCCATAATTACAGCACTTTGAGAGGCTGAGGCAGGAGGATTGCTTGAGACCAGGAGTTCCAGACCAGCCTGAGCAGCATAGCAAGACCCTGTCTTTACAAAATAAATAAATAAATAATAAATAAATAAAATAATAATAGAAAAATTAGCTGGGTGTGGTGATGTGTGCCTGTAGTCCCAGCTACTCAGAAGGCTGAGGCAGGTGTATCACTCAAGCCCAGGAACAGGAGGGCTGCAGTGAGCTACGATCATGCCACTACCCTCCAGCCTGGGTCACAGAATAAGACCCTGTCTCTACGAAAACAACGGCAAAACAAAATAACACATTGGGCTGGGTGCGGTGGCTCATGCCTGTAATCCCAGCACTTTGGGAGGCCGAGGCAGGTGGATCACAAGGTCAGGAGTTCAAGACCAGCTTGGCCAATATGGTGAAACCCCGTCTCTACTAAAAATACAAAAATTAGCCGGGCATGGTGGCGGGCGCCTGTAGTCCCAGCTACTTGGAAGGCTGAGGCAGGAGAATTGCCTGAACCCGGGAGGCAGAGGTTGCAGTGAGCCAAGATCGTGCCACTATACTCCAGTCTGGGCGACAGAGCAAGACTGTGTCTCAAACAAAACAAAACAAAACAAAAATACAAAATAACACATTGGATGATGCACATTGGATGATACACTGTGCCTTGTAGGTTTGAGAATATGTTATCTCTGGTTTTATTTTTAATTTGGGTGGTCTTGTATTCTCAAAAAATATTGAGACTTTATAAATGTATTTCAGCTGGCACAGTGGCTCATACCTGTAGTCCCAGCACTTCAGGAGGCTGAGGCAGGTGGATCTCTTGAGCTCAGAAATTTGCGACCAGCCTGGGCAACGTGGTGAAACCTGTTTCTACTAAAATTACAAAATTTAGCTAGGCATGGTGGCGTACTCCTGTAGTCTCAGCTACTCAGGAGGCTGAGGTGGGAGGATCACCTGAGTCCGGGAGGTTGAGGCTGCAGCGACCCAAGATGGCGCCACTGCACTTCAGTCTGGGTGACAAAGCAAGACGCTGTCTCAAAAAAAAAAAAAAAAAAAAATTTTGGTGCTCCCTTTGGTAGCACATATGCTAAAATTGGAATGATACAGAGAAAATTAGCATGGCCTCTGAGCAAGAATGCACACAAATTCATGAAGCATTCCATATATAAATGTATTTAAAAATCAAATAAATAAATAAATAATAAATGTATTTTATTTCCCACTCTTTCAGATTCACAGATTTTGAATTCTTATAAACTACTACTGCTCTATACCCAAACTCTGCCACACCTAAGAGAGAGACATATTTTCTTCCATCAAGGGACTTCCAGGTTCACCGGAAAAATGAAACCAACAGACTCATGAGAGCAGGGCCCATGTCTATCTGGTTTACCACTGAATCCCTAGAAAGTGGCAAAGAAGGCTGGGTGCAGTGGCTCATGCCTGTAATCCCAGCATTTTGAGAGGCCAAGGCGGGTGGATCACCTGAGGTCAGAAGTTTGAGAGCAGCCTGGCCAACATGGTGAAACCTCATCTCTATTAAAAATACAAAAATTAGCCAGGTGTGGTGGCGGGTGCCTGTTATCCCAGCTACTCGTGAGGCTGGGGCAGGAGAATCGCTTGAATCCAGGAGGCGGAGGTTGCTCTGAGCTGAGATCGTGCCACTGCATTCCAGCCTGGGTGATGGAGTGAGACTCCATCTCAAAAAAATAAATAAATAAAATAAATAAATAAAAATAAAGGGCAAAGAAAAGGACATGGGAAGGATCATTCTTTTTTTTTTTTTTTTTTGAGACAGAGTCTTGCACTGTTGCCCAGGCTGGAGTGCAATGGCACAATCTCAGCTCACCGCAACCTCCCCCTCCCAGGTTCAAGCAATTCTCCTGCCTCAGCCTCCTGAGTAGCTGGGATTACAGGCACCCACCAGCATTCCTGGCTAATTTTTGTATTTTTAATAGAGACAGGGTTTCACCATGTTGGTCAGGCTGGTCTCGAACTCCTGACCTCAGGTGATCCACCCACCTTGGCCTCCCAAAGTGCTGGGATTACAGGTTTAGCCACCGCACACGGCCAGGGAGGATAATTCTAATTGCTAATAGTTGTTATTCTAAGCTCTTTATTTCCTTTAATCCCCACTCCACCCTCTGAGGCAAGTTTCAAATTATTATTATTATTTTATTTTTTTATTTTTAGACGGAGTTTTGCTCTTGTCGCCCATGCTGGAGTGCAATGGTGTGATCTCGGCTCACCGCAACCTCCCCCTCCCGGGTTCAAGTGATTCTCCTGCCTCAGCCTCCCAAGTAGCTGGGATTACAGGTAGGCGCCACCACACCTGGCTAATTTTGTATTTTTAGCAGAGACAGGGTTTCTCCATGTTGGTCAGGCTGGTCTCAAACTCCCGACCTCAGGTGATCCGCCCGCCTTGGCCTTCCAAAGAACTGGGATTACAGGCATGAGCCACTGCACCCAGGCTATTTTATTTATTTATTTTTGAGACAAGTCTCACTCTGTTGCCCAGGCTGGAATGCAGTGGCGCCATCTTGCCTCACTGCAACCTCCGCCTCCTGGGTTCCAGCGATTGTCCCACCTCAGCCTCCTGAGTAGCTGGGATTACAGGCGCCTGCCACCATGCCTGGTTAATTTTTTGTGTTTTTAGTAGAGACGGGGTTTCACCATGTTGGCCAGGCTGGTCTGGAATTCCTAGCCTCAGGTGATCCATCTGCCTCGGACTCCCAAAATGCTGGGATTACAAGCATGAGCCACCGCGCCCGGCCGAGGGAGGGTTTTTTAACCTTAGCATTCTTGCTTTTTTTTTTTTTTGAGACAGAGTCTCAATCTGTTGCCCAGGCTGCAGAGCAGTGGCGCCATCTTGGCTCACTGCAAGCTCTGCCTCCCAGGTTCACGACATTCTCCTGCCTCAGCCTCCCAAGTAGCTGGGACTATAGGCGCCTGCCACCACGCCCGGCTAATTTTTGTATTATTATTATTTTTTTTTAGTAGACCCGGCGTTTCACCGTGTTAGCCAGGGTGGTCTTGATCTTATGACTTCGTGATTCGCCCACCTCGGCCTCCCAAAGTGCTGGGATTACAGGCGTGAGCCACCACGCCCAGCTGCACTCTTGCTTATTGACATTTAGGGCCAGATAGTTCTCTGTTGTGGAGGGCTGTCTGTGGATTGGAGGATGTTTAGTAGTATCCCTGGCCTCTACCCACTAGATACCAGAAGCATGTCCCCCTCCCCCAAGTTGTGACAGTCAAAGATGTCCCCAGACCATTGCCTGATGTTCTTTGGGGGTTGTGCAAAATTGCCCCCACTTAAGAACCACTGATCTAACGGTAGGTACTTTACTAACTCCAATGTACAGATAAGGAAACTGACGCACAACACAGGGAGGCTTGTTTGGATGGGAGGTTCAAGTCCTTTTCTTTAATAGGAGCTCCCTGTCTGATGGAGGAGGATAGACTGGTGGGAGGGTGGAGGCATGTGCCATGTGCCATGGATAGTTGGTAAATTCCTGATGTTTCCTCTCTTACCTTCAGGCCCCAGCACCTTCTTTTTCCCCACTCTCCTTACTCCCTCCTCTAACACCAACTTGGACTTGGGGCATCTCCTCCAGGTTTCCAGAGCCCTGACCACATCCCCTTTTGTAGCACTTCTCCCAGGGAGCTGTCGTTGTTGGATGTCAGCATGTTTGCTTTCCCTCTAGACTCAGGATCAGCTTTGTGGGCTGTGCAGTCTCTGTTGCAACTACTCAGCTCTGCTGTTGCAGATGGTTCATAAATGAATTGACATGGCTATGTTCTAGGAATGTTTATGGACACTGAAATTTGAATTTCATGTGATTTTCATGTGTCACAAAATACTATTTTTCTTTTGTCTTTTATTTTTATTATTTTTATTTAAAATAATTTTGTTTTGATACAGAGTCTCGCTCTGTCACCCAGGCTGGAGTGCAATGGCATGATCTCGGCTCACTGAGACCTCCACCTTCTGGGTTCAAGCGATTCTCCTGCCTCAGCCTCCCTAGTAGCTGGGATTACAGGTGCCCGCCACCACGCTCGGCTAATTTTGGTATTTTCAGTAGAGACGGGGTTTTGCCATGTTGGCCAGGCTGGTCTTGAACTCCTGGCTTCGTGTGATCTGAGAACCGCAGGGCGCATGGTTACTCTGTTTGACATTTTGACGGACTGCCAAACTCTTTTCCATAGCGGCGGCAGCATTTTATATTCCTTGCGGCAATGTATGAGAGCTCACATATTTCTCTGTCCTTTCAGCTGGGGTTTTATGAGATGCTGAGTCTTTTTCTTTTCTTTATTTTTTGAGACGAAGTTTCGTTCTCGTTGCCCAGGCTGAAGTGCAATGGCACAATCTTGGCTCACTGCAACCTCCGCCTCCCAGGTTCAAGCGATTCTCCTGCCTCAGCTTCCTGGAGTAGCCAGGATTACAGGCACCCGCCACCATGCCTGGCTAATTTTGTATTTTTAGTAGAGATGGCGTTTCACCATGTTGGCCAGGCTGGCCTCGAACTCCTGACCTCAGGTGATCCACCTGCCTCGGCCTCCCAAAGTGCTGGGATTACAGGCGTGGAGCACCGCGCTGGGCTGGGATGCTGAGTCTTGATGCTGCTGCTGCTGTTGTGATTGTGATGCTTATGTTTTCCACGCAGGGACATTCAGGAGACACAAATGAAGTATCTCTCCGAGTGGGACCAGTGGAAGCGGTATAGCAGCAAGTCTTGGAAGAGGTTCCTGGAGAAGGCTCGAGAGATGACGACCCACCTGGAGCTGTGGCGGGAGGACATTCGCAGCATAGAAGGTATCCCGCCCCGGCCTCTGTGCAGGCTCTTCTGCAGAAGTCTCTGTGTCTGGGGAGCAAGTACAGCTTCGTTTCCACTAGCGTCTAGCTGAAATTGAGCATTTCCTTCCATGATGAATGTGAACAACAAACCACCGCAAGGTTTAGCAGAACCTGTGTCTTTGTCACTAGGAAAAAATCATGGATATTTTCCTGTCCCTTCCAGTTGTATTTATCTTGGAATACCGCTAATGCCCATGACTGCTTGGAAATTTCAGTCGTTATTAGACTTGCCGCTAGATCTTGTTATTTAATGTGCTAGTGAAGACCAGGCACAGTGGCTCACTCCTGTAATACCAGCCCTTTGGGAGGCCAAAGTGAGTGGATCACGAGGTCAGGAGTTCAAGACCAGCCTGGCCAACATAGTGAAATCCCATCTCTACTAAAACTACAAAAAGTTAGCTGGGCATGGTAGTGCATGCCTGTAATCCCAGCTGTTTGGGAGGCTGAGGCATGAGAATCACTTGAACCCAGGAGGTGGACATTGCAGTGAGCCGAGACCGCACTATTGCACAGCCTGGGTGACAGAGCGAGACTCTGTCTCAAAAGAAGTGCCAGTAAAGTTGCTCACTGATGCTCATGTAGGTCATTCTATCACACATATTTTTTTAATAAGATGATAACTGTGTATCTGTTTTTATCTTATGCATTTAAATTAAATGCATAAAATAGTATTATTTAAAAATAATATTAAATTGGCCGGGCGCAGTGGCTCATGCCTGTAATCCGAGCACTGCGGGATGCTGAGGCGGACGGATCACGAGGCCAGGAGATCGAGACCATCCTGGCCAACATAGTAAAACCCTGTGTCTACTAAAAATACAAAAAATTAGCTGGGCATGGTGGTGGGCACCTGTAGTCCCAGCTACTCAGGAGGCTGAGGCAGGAGAATGTCGTGAACCCGGAAGGTGGAGCTTGCAGTGAGCCGAGATGGTGCCACTGCACTCCAGCCTGGGCGACAGAGCGAGACTCTGTCTCAAAATAAAATAAAATAAGATAAATTATTTAATAATTTAATTTAAATTAAATGCATAAATAGTATTATTTTAAAATAATATTAAATTATAATATATTAATATTAGTAGACTATTATTTTATGCATTAAAATATTATGCATAAATATATTATTTTAAAAATGTTATACTTCTAATTTCAATGCATAAAATAAAAACAGACATACAGTTATCGTATTATTAACATTATCCCAGCCAGGCCGTGGTTCATGCCTGTAATCCTAGCATTTTGGGAGACTGAGGCAGGAAGATCATCTGAGCCCAGGAGTTTGAGACCAGCCTGGGTAACAAAGTAAGACCT